TAGGAACGTAATTAATAATTCTAGGAATATTGACATTAGATCACCTAGAAATTTTTTGGCTCAACCTAGGCATATGCATAACCCAAATGTAATTTGCCATTATTGCTCTAAGATAGGACACATAGCACCCGTTTGTTTTACCAAACATAGGGATTTGTTTTATAGCTATGATTATTATTTTCCTAACCCTCAAGGACCCAAAAGTTTTTGGGTACCTAAAAATTATTAGATGCATATGTAGGTGTGTTTGAAGACTACATTTTTGTAGTGGATGCTCCAAGCACGAAATCTAATAATTTGCATCAAGGGGAGTTTGGGGGAATTGTTTTTGCTATAAACATGGTATCAGTTTCAGGGGGAACATACAAGAATGATGTTTTGTATCAAACATCAATGCTCAGGAGTACCTTTTTTTTTAAACTTTACTTAGTGCTTTTTGCTAATGCCAAAAGGGGGAAGTGTTTGGGTATATGCAACAAGTGAGGGGGAATCTTGTTTTCAAATACGTAGGGGGAATTACCATTACTCTCTCTTTGAAAACCCAACTTGGCTTGCATATCCCCTCCTTGGTTTGTCATTATCAAAAAGGGAGAAATTGTTGGAAAACATTTTCACTTTGACATTTTGCTAATGACAATGTTTGTTTCCGTTTAGGTTTTGATATTGACAAACCGTCGGGAACATGGAACAAAATGAAAAGATAGAAAAAGTTCTTTGAAGAAACAAAAAGCACAAGAAAGGCATTGACACTTCTAAAGATGACGACATTGGAGCTTTGAAGACGTATTCTAAATACTTAGGTTTTTATTGTAACAAGCTCATTCAATTTCTCTACGTCATGGCTCAAAACAAAATATGTTTTTCATGCATCAAATTAATGTTTTCATAAATGGTTTTTAAGTTTCTAAAACCCATGGTTCTTTCTTAACCAAAACCATAACCATCGGTTATCGGTGTTCGGCTATGGCGTTCGGTTTTCGGCATTGGTTATTGCATTGATTTTAACCAAATGGTTTTTGGGTTTTTATCTTTTGTTTATGCTTCTGGACACATTTAAAGTTTTTCCAAATGATTAGTTTTCAAAAACCATAACCTTTGTTTTTCGGCGTTGGTTATCAGCATTCGGTGTTGGTTATCGGTGTTGGTTTTTGACGTCCAAATCAATCAAGTGGTTTTTAATCTTTTATGATTGGTTTTTACTTCTGGACATATCCAAATGGTTCTCCAACAAAAACTTGTTAAAAACCACCTTTCGTTTTTGGTCTTTTGGTGAAAACCATGTGAAACGGCATAAACTTGGCTAGCCGTGGTTTTTACCTTAATGAAGTGGTTTTTAAGTTTTTATACTTGGTTTTTACCTAAAATACATTATATAAGAGTTTCCAACACTTGGTTTTCATTTGGAGAACTTTGGTTTTTGACATCGGTTTTCGGCGTTGGCTGCCAAACCATGGTTCTGGCAAACCATCCCGACATGCATGTCGGAAATCCCAACAGCGATGTTGGCCTTCAAAAGCCCTGGGCAGTAAGTTTTTGAACAGCGATGTTCATGGTTGAACAGCGATGTTTTCAAATGACCGTTGGGCTATTTAAGACAAAATCTTTCCATTTTTGAAAGTCAAACACCCCAACAGCGATGTAGACTTCTAGACATCGATGTTTTGATGACCGTTAGCCATTTTTAAAGGAAAGTCAAAGTCAGAACAGCGATGTTCACCATATGAACAGCGCTGTCGGGCTAGATTTCAGCAGATCCACTTTTATTTGATTTCCACAAATCAAGCTAATCAACCCCAAT